CCGCCCACTGATTGATCATGGTCCCGCCTATTGGCTGACCGTGGCTCCGCCCGCTCACTTAGCGTTGTCGCTGCGCCCCCCCCAGCCTGTGCCAGGACGGTGACATGTGGCATCTGGGGATGTGTCCATGGAGGACACAGCCATGGGTGGTAACATGTGGCATGGGGGGACACAGCCATGGGTGGTGACGTGTGGCCCAGGACATGTCAATGGATGGTGACATGTGGCATGGGGGGACACAGCCATGGGTGGTGACGTGTGGCCCAGGACATGTCAATGGATGGTGACATGTGGCATGGGGGGACACAGCCATGGGTGGTGACGTGTGGCCCAGGACATGTCAATGGATGGTGACATGTGGCATGGGGGGACACAGCCATGGGTGGTGACGTGTGGCCCAGGACATGTCAATGGATGGTGACATGTGGCATGGGGGGACACAGCCATGGGTGGTGACATGTGGCCCCGGGAACACGCCAGGGCAGTCACATGTGGCACAGAGGGATATGTCCATGCCATGAGGTGACACGTCCCCAACAACCCCACCACCCTACTCCATCCCCCACCACACCACCACGCCACTGTCCCCTCTGTGTCACCATTTATTCACTTCTCTCTCAAGTGGGACATCTACCATGTGGGATGTCCCCTGTGACCCTGTGTCCTTCAGGCCACCTCTGGCAGTGGCTCCAGCAGCAGCCAGAGCCCGTCCTCGGTGCGGAGGATGAGCTCGGGCTTGCGCCGTGGTGGCCTCTCCTCGTCCAACCGGATGACAAAGTGTGCCACCGTCAACGCTGCCACCACCTTCAGCTCAGCCATGGCGAAGCTCTGCCCGATGCAGTTCCTGCCACCACGTCCCCCTCTGTCACCTCCACGGGAGGGACACAGGGGACAGCAGATATCCCTCACCACCACCATCCGGGTGGTGGAGCAGATGGTGGAACCTCACCGAGGCATGGGGTTGGCGTTGTCCCCGTGATGCCCAAACGTCACAGCTCAGGGGACAACAGCCCCACCTTGAACCCAACCAGGCTGGGCAGGTGACAAGTGGGGACTCGAGCGTCCCCACCACGGCTTACCTGGGACCGGCGGAGAAGGGGATGAAGGCCAACGGGGACCGACCCTGGCTGTTCTCCGGGCTGAACCTCAGTGGGTTGTAGACCTGGAGTGACATGGACACATCACACCGTAGAGACACGGTTGTCTCTGCCCATGGTGACAAGGACATCCCACTGTCCCATGTTCATGCCACCAGGGCCAAGTGGCTCTACCTGGGGCTCAGGCCAGATGTCTGGGTTGTGGTGGGTCCCGTAGATGCTCATCAGGCAGATGATCTCTGGTGGGATGAAAATGGCCACCTTAGGGACAGGGAACAAGTAAGGACAGTGACACTGGGGACACTTTGCACCCTGGGGAAGCCGCACCCTTGGGGATGACACGTCCATCACGAAGGGCGATGTCCTCGGTGCAGCGCCGGGACACGGCGGTGACGGGGGGATGCAGGCGAAGGCTCTCCTTGATGCACATGGTGGTGAAGGGCAGGTGGGACAGGTCCTCCCTGTGAGCAAGGGATGGTGGCACCAGAGTCCCCCAAGCTGGGTGACCAGGGGATGACACTGAGGACCTCTCACCATTCAATCTCCTCCACATCCCGGCCTTTGAGGAGCTCACGGACCTCCTGCCGGCACCTCTCCTGGTAGTGCGGGTGACGGGCCAGGTTGTAGAGCAACCATGCCAAGCCACTGGCTGTCGTGTCATGACCTGCAGGGACAATGGGTGAGTGAGGGGATGTGTGAGGTGTCCCCCCCCCAGATGGCACCTGGTGGCTCACCCTCAAACATGAAGGTGTCAGCCTCGGCCGAGATGTCCTCATCCGACAAGCTGTTGCCATCCTCATCCTGCAAAGGTGAACGTGGCAGCCAAGGGGCTACCGGTCTATGGCCAACCCTCCCCATGGCTGTCACCATCCCCATGGCCACCACCATGCTGCTATGGCCACCACTCTACAGCCAACCTTTCCCATGACCACCACCATCCCCTTGGCCACCGCCATGCTACTATGGACACCACTCTATGGCCAACCCTCCCCATGGCCACCACCACCTCACCCCAATGCTACCTTAGCGAGCAGGAGAAGGTCAATGAAGTCCATCCTTTGTCCCTGATGGCTCTCCAGCCAGGCCTGGTG